TTCTGAAAACTCCCTGTTCATATCCCTAGAATATCGATCAGTTGGAGAATGACTTTTATTTTCTTCCACCCTATCCCATCCCCTATTTATTCTATTCTCTCCTCTGACCTTGTCCCTCCTCAGAAGTGTTTGCTTCTGATTACCCCCTCCCCCAATCTGCCCTCCCTTCTGTTATGGACCTGCTTATCCCCTTCCCTCTTACTTGCCTTTAGGGGAAGATAGGTTTCCATACCAATTGAGTGTGTATGTTATTCCCTCCTTAAGCTCAATCCTAAAGTTAAGGGGACTGGTCTCAATAAGGTTCACTCATTCCCTCTCACCTCCCCCCTCTTCCCTCCACTGTAGAAGACTTTTTTTGCCTCTTCTATGTGAGATAATTTACCCTATTCTATCTTGCCCTTTGTCCTTCTTCCCATGCATTCCTCCCTCATTCCTTAATTTTATTTTTTAGATATCATCCCTTCATATTCAAGTCACCCTGTGCCATGTGTCTCTATATATATTCCCTCCAGCTACCCTAATAATAAGAGATGCCTTATGAGTTTCAAATATCATCTTTCCATGTAAAAATGTCAACAGTTCAACTTTATTAAGGCCCTTATGATTTCTCCTTCCTGTTTACCTTTTCATGCTTTTCTTGAGTCTTGTATTTAAAAGTCAGTTTTTCTATTTAGCTCTCATTTTTTTTCTCAAGAATACATTAAATTCTTCTGTCATTGAATGTCTCCATCATTGATTATACTCATTTTTGCTGGGTTGGTGATTCTTGGTTTTAATCTTAGCTCCATTGGCTTCTGAAATATCATATTCCAAACCTTCTGATCCCTTAATGGAGAAGCTGCTAAATTTTGTGTTATCCTGATTGTCTTTCCACAATACTTGACTTGTTTTTCTCAGGCTGCTTGCAATAATGGGGACAGAGAAGATCAAGATAGAAATTCAGAAGAGGACAACACTGTCAATATAAGTACATCCAAATCCTCAAAGGGGAATGTGAATTGATCTCAAGCACAGAACTCCTTCTTGGAAGAGTTCAAGGAGGATATTAAAAGTCAAATAAGAGAGGTAGATGAAAAATTGGGAAAAGAAATGAGAGGTATACAAGAGAGAGTCAATACCTTCGAAAAGGAAGGACAAAAATTGACTGTAGAAAATGAGTCCTTAAAATTACAATTGGCCAAATGGAAAAAAGTACACTGAAGAAAACAACTCCTTAAAAAGTAGAATTCACCAAATGGAAAAAGAGGCACAAAAACTCACCAAAGAGAACTCCTTGAAAAGCATAATGAGCCAAATGCAAAAGGAGGAATAAAATCTAATTGAGGAAAACAACTCTTTAAAAATTAGGATTAGGCAAGTGGAAGCTAATAACTGTACGAGACATCAAGAAGCAGTCAAACAGGGGCAGCTAGGTGGTGCAGTGCATAGAGCACCGCCCCTGAAGTCAGGAGGACCTGAGTTCAAATCCGGCCTCAGACACATAATATTCACTAGATGTGTGACTCTAGGCAAGTCACTTAACCCCATTGCCTAACCAAAAAAAAAAAAAGAATCAGTCAAACAGAAACACAGGAAGAAAAAAAGAAGAAAACATGAAATACTTCATTGGCAAAACAACTGACCTGGAAAATAGATCCAGGAGAGACAATTTAAAAATTATTGGTCTACCTGAAAACGTGATGAAAAGAGAAGGAGCCTGGATGGCATCTTTCAGGAAATCATCAAGGAAAACTGCCCTGAGGTCATAGAACCAGAGGGTAAAAGTCATTGAAAGAATCTACCCATCACCTCCTGAAAGAGATCACAAATTGAAAACAACAAGGAATATTGTAGCCGAATACCAAAATTACAAGTTCAAAGAGAAAATACTGCAAGCAGCCAGAAAGATACAATTTATATATTATGGAACTACAGTCAGGATTACTCAGGACCTTGCACCTTCTACATTAAAAGACCTAAGGGCATGAAACATGATATTCCATAAGGCAAAAGAGCTTGGATTACAACCAAGGATCTACTACCCAGTGAAATTGAACATAGTCTTTCAGGGGAGGAGATGGATATTCAGTGAAATAGGTGACTTCCAAACTTTCCTGATGAAAAGACCAGAGCTCAACAGAAAATTTGATCTTCAAATACAAGACTCAAGAGAGGCATAAAAAAGTAAAGAGGAAAAAAACCAACATGATATTAATAAGGGCAAACTGTTTACATCCCTATAAGGGAAGGTGACACTTGTAACTCTTGAGAACTGTCTTGTTATTATGATATTTAAAGGGTTTATATATAAGGGCAGTTAGGTGGCACAGTGGATAGAGCTCCTGCCTTGGAGTCAGGAGGAACAGAGTTCAAATTTGGCCTGAGACACTTTACGCTTACTAGCTGTGTGACCCTGGGCAAGGCACTTGACCTTGATTGCCTCACCCAAAAACCAGCAATAAAAAGTGTTATACATAGAGGTTGTGGGTATAAGTTGACTTAGATGTGATGATAAAAATTCTAATTAAGTTGTGAAAAGAAATTATACTAGGAGAAGAGGAAAGGAGGAGGCAGACAATGGTAAATTGCATCACATGACCAGGCACAAAAACCTATTACAGTAGAGGGAAAGAACGGAGGGAGATGAGCATTGTTTGAACCTTACTCTCATCAGATTTGATTCAAAGAGGGAATGACATAATCAGGTATAGAAATCTAACTTACCCTTTAGGAAGTAGGAGGGTAAAGGGAAAAGGAAAGAGAGGGGTTGAATAGAAGTGAGAGAAGAAGTAGTAAGGGTAAAGTGGAAGAAAAGGGAGGGAGCTAATACAAGGGAAGGCAGACTGAGGAAGTCAGTAATCAGAAGCAAAACACCTATGAGGGAAAAGGAGAAAGGAGAGAGCCAAGAGTATACATATTGAGCACAGTAACAGCAACACAGTAGGATGATCAGGTATGAATGACTTCACTCTTCTCAGCAGCAAAATGCTCTAAGACAATTGCAAAGGAATCATGAGGAAAAATGCTTGTTTACATCCAGAGAAAGAACTGATGGAGTCTGAATACACATAGAAGCGTAATATTTTCACTTTCTTTATTTTTTCATGTGTTTTGGTGTGTTTCTTCTTCCACAACATGACTAATATATGAATATATTTTACATGATTCCACATATATAACCTATATCAAATTGCTTACTATCTAAGGGAGGAGGAAAAGGAAGGAGAGAGGGAGGAAATTTGGAACTCAATTTTTTAAAATGTATGTTAAATTTCTCTTTACATGTAATTAGAAATAATAACATATTATTTTTAAAATGCTCTTGTTCCATAAAGAATAAAAAAGAGGGCCATTTCAGAGAAACCTGAGAAGATTGATGCTGAGTGAAGTGAGCAGTAGTAGAGAACAATTTATGTAATAACAGCAACATTATAGAGAAAAACAGTGTTGAGACACTTAAGAACTTTAATCAAGGTAATGACCAAATATGATTCCAGAGGACCCATGAGTATGCTTATTACACACCTCTAGACAAAACTGTTATGGACTGACTCAGGCTGCAGAATGAGACCTATTTTTGGATGTAGCCAATAGGGGAGTTTGCATGGAACCCAAAGTTTTAAAAACATGTGTTTAAAAAAAATGTTTTCACATGCAGCTGGGAAATAAGAAATACAGGAAATGGGGTACAGAAATCTATCCTTCCCTACAGAAAAGTAGAAGGGGAAGGGGATAAGAGAAGGGCAGGAAAAGATAGAAGGGAGGGCAAACCAGGGGAAAGGATATTCAGAATGCCTGCCATCTTTGGGTGGGGTGAGGGACGAGATGAAAATTTGAAACTCAAAATCTTGTGGAAGTAAATGTTGAAAACTAAATACAAATAAATTTAAGAAAAAAAATTATTTTTTTTTTTTTAAAAAGAGCCACTGGTTATAAAATTTGTTTCCCAGTTTTCTGCTTCCTATCCAATCTTGGTTGCACTGGCTTTGTTTGTGCAAAAACTTTTCAATTTAAAGTCATCAATAGCAATTATATGCCTCAACTTATTCACTCATTCCACACTTGATAATCATCCCCTCAATTTCCAATTCATTGCCACCACGAAAAGAGATGTTGTAGATATTTTTCTATAAATATGTTTCTTTTTCTCCTTTTTGAAATCTCTTTGGGATACAGACCTACTAATGGTATTGTTGGGTAAAGGGTATGCAGTTTTGTAGCTCGTAGTGTATAGTTGTAAATACTTGTCCAGAATGATTGGACGGTTCACAACTCTAAAAATAGTACATTAGATTCCCATTATTCCATATCACCTCCAGAATTTAACTTTTTCCTTTTCTGTCATATTAGGTAATTTGATGGGTGTGAGATGGTACTTTAGAGTCGTTTTCATTTGCATTTCTCTCATTAATAGTGATTTAGAGCATTTTTTCATGTAACTATTTTGTTAATTATTCATTTATAACTTAAATACAAAAAGACAAGAAAAGAAAATTTCCATATACACAGCACAGCATTAAAAGAGGATTCAAAATAAAACCATGAATTTCTGTTCCACACTGTTTATTGTTTTCAAAAACTACATAATAAATACTATATATTTTTTCATAAATCAGCATTTATTATTTAAGTTCAAGAATAGCTTATGAAGAGATTGGGGGCATGTTTAGAACAGAGAGTCCAAGGTGGAACCCTAAGGGAGAGGGAAGAAGGGAGAAGACAGGGAGATGAGAGCCTCTCCTCTGTGTCTGCTCTAGATTGGGTTAATCCTGATTTCTGAGCCTTGATCCAGGGCACACAATGAAGCATACGATAAGATGAAGTTCTGGGGGCTACAGGTTTAGGAAACATCAAGGGGTGGCCAAAGTTACAAATCCAATTAGAGGTGGGGCTGGGATTCTCCTTAGATCAGCAGCACCACTTCCTTTTAGGTATTGAAGCATAGTGATATGTTCCATCCCACTTATTTCAGCTCTTAGGAAATGTTCTTTTAGTTAAATTCTTTGTGCTGAAGAATTCTTTCACTGCCTTTCTAACTTCTTGTACTTTGCTTCTAGTTTCTTTGAATATGCATCCAACATATAAACTGCCTGTTGGAGAGCTGCTACTTGCTCCTCAGTTAAAGTGATCTGATACAGATAAGGTTGAAGTGCTGCAGATTTCTGGTTTAAGTCCTTTAGGTTTCTACTTGTGTTCACTGCAATATCTTGCATACCTAGATACTTCAAGCTAGTCAGTTTGTTCATACCTTCTAGAAGTTTATAGTCTTCACTGGTGGCTGTTAGCTCACGTGTCAGGTACATGGCCATTTTGGAGAACATGCCCTTGGCATAGCCCTGTGATGTCTGCTTGGATGGGCCCCTTGCTTACCCTACATACCATTTTTTTAAAGCTACCCTGGTATTTTGTGTTTCCCACTAAATTTTTTTTTGTTCTCTGCTACACATTTAAAATTTTTTTTCTCCCTACCCCTCCATCCTGCCCTAGAGAAGGCTACAATTAGAAACAATTATGTATGTATATAAATATACATGTCCATGTATATGTATATGTGCATGTTTGCTTGTGTATGTATGTCTGTGTATGTAAAACTATACCATACAAATGTCTACTTGTCAATTCTTTCTCTGGAAGTAGATAGCACCTTACTTTGTAAGTTGATCCTTTACAGTTGATTTGAGTATTTTTAATACTTAAAATGACTTAGTCATTCAAAGTTGTTCTTAGAACAATAATACTGTTACTGTATATACCATTTTCTTGGTTCTGCTAATTTCATTCTTCATTATTTTATACAAGTCTTTCCATGGTTTCTAAAATCAACCAGCTCATCATTTCTTACACATCACAATTCCATCACAATTATATACCACAACTTATTTAGCCATTCCCCAATTGATGGGCATCTTCTCAATTTCCAGTTCTTTGCCACTAAAAGGAAAACTGCTAGAAATGTTTAGAGCATAAAAGTTCTTTCTTTTTTCCCTAATCACCTTGAGAAACAGACCTAATAAAGAGTGTCATTGTTGGATCAAAAGATATGCATTGTTGGAGTAGTTCACAACTCTACCAAGAGTGCATTAGTTTCCCAGTTTTTCTGCATCCCCTCCAGCATTTGTCATTTTCCTCTTCTGTCATATTAGCCAATCTGACAGGTGTGAGGTGGCACCTCAGAGTTGGTTTCATTTGACTTTCTCTAATTAGTAGTGATTTAGAGCATTTTTTCATGTTATTATTGATAACTTTGATATCTTCCTCTGAAAACTGCTTGTCCATATTCTATGACTATTTATCAATGGAAGAATGACTCTTATTTCTGTAATTTAGCTCAGCTATTTATATATTTGAAAATAACGTCTTTATTTGAGAAACACGCTGTCAGAATTTCCCTGTCTACCCGTTTTCCTTCTAATTTTGGCTGTATTACTTTTCTGGTGAAAACATTTTTAATTTCACGTAATCAGAATTATCTATTTCATTTTCCATGATACTCTCTATGTCTTGTTTTGTCATAAAATCTTCACATGTCTGTAGACGTGACAGATACATTTTTCCTTGCTCTTCTGATTTACTAATGATATCACTGTTTATGTCAAAAGACCTTGTCTTGGTATAAAATGTGACATGTTGATCTATGCTTAGTTCTGCCAAACTGTTTTCCAGTTTTCCCAGCAATTTTTGTCAAATTGTGAGTTTGGTTTACTAAACACTAGATTACTGCAGTCATTTCCTACTGTGCATTGTGTACCTAATCTATTTCATTGATCCACCCCTCTGTATATTACCCAGTATCATATTGTTTTCATGATCACTGCTTTGTATTATACTTTAAAATTTAGTACTACTTAAATACATGCCTTCCCATTTTTTTCATCGATTCCCTTCAAATTCTTTACTTTATGTTCTTCGCAGATGAATTTGATTATTATTTTTTCTAGTTCTACAATAAGTCTTGGGTAGTTTGATTGTTTTGGCACTGAATAAGCAAATCAACTTGAGTAAAATTGTCATTTGTATTGGTTCAGCCTACCAATGAGCAAATCATATTTCTCCTGTTGTTCAGATCTCTCTTTATTTGTGTGAAGAGTGTTTCATCATTGTTTTCATGAAGTCCATTGTTAGGTCTTGGCAGGGAGACTTCCAAGTATTTTATATTGTTTACCATTATTTTAAATGGAATTTCTCTTTCTATTCCTTCTTGCTAGGTCTTGTTGGTGGTATATAGGATTGCTGATGACTTATGAGGGTTTATTTTGTATCCTGCAAATTTGCTAAAGTTGTTGATTATTTCCATTAGTTTTTTATTATTTGTTTTTCTAGGGTGCTTAAAATATACCATATATCACCTGCAAAGAGGGGTAATTTTTTCTCCTCATCATTTATTTTTATTTTTCAAGTTTCTTTTTATTGTCTTCTGGCTCCAGCTAAGATTTCTAGTATGATACCGAATAATTGTGGTGACAATGGACAGCCTTGCTTCACTCCTGATCTTATTCAAAAGGTTTCAAGTTTATTCTCATTACAGATAATGCTTCCTCTTGGTTTTAAAAAGATATTACTTGGCATTTTAAGAAGGGTTCTATTGATTCCTATGCTTTATAGTGTTTTTAATAAGAATAGATGTATTTTGTAAAAATAAATTTCTCTGCATCTTTTGATATTATCACACAATTTTTCTTGGTTTTGTTATTAATTTGGTCCATTCTGCTGATAGTTTTCCAAACACTGAAAAAGCTCTGCGTTGTTAGTATAAATCTCACTGGTCATAGTGTATGATTTTTGTGATATACTGCTGTAACATTCATAGGACTTGATTTCAAATGTTTCATTGCTATTCATAAAGGAAATTCGTTTACAATTTTCTTTCTCTCTTTTTGCTCCTGCTTGTTTAGGTATCAAAACCATATTTTTGTTATAAAAGGCCTTTGGTAGGCCTTCTCTTTACCTATTTTTTCAAATAGATTATATAGTATGGGGATGAATTATTCCTTAAGTGTTTGGTAGGATTTAATTATAAAACCATCTAGTCCTTGGGATTTTGTTGAAGGGAACTCATTCATGCCTTATTCATTTTTTTTTTCTAAGATGGGTCTCTTTAAGTATTCTATTTCCTCTTCAGTTAACATGTGTGGTTTGTATTTTTGGAAATATTCATTCATTTCACTTAGATTTTCAGTTTACCTGGCATATGATTAAGCAAAATGCATCCTAATAATTACTTCAATTGCATCTTCATTTTTTTATGCATTCACCCTTTTCAATTTTGAGACTGGTAATTTGGTTTTCTTCTTTTTGTTAATAAGACAACCAATGGTTAAAATTTTTATTGTTTTTTTTCTAAATTATAAAACCAACTTCGTTTTATTTATTTTTTTCTTTCATTATTATTCATCTCACCTTTGAGTTTCAGCATTTCCATTTTGATATTTAATTGGAGATTTTAAATTTCTTCTTCTAGTTTTTTTTTTAAGAAATTCCATGCCCAGGGTTGCAGTTAGGTAGTGCAGTGGATAGAGTACCAGCCCTGAAGTCAGGAGGACCTGAGTTCAAATCCAGCCTCAGACCAAACACTTGACACTTACTAGCTGTGTAACCCTGGGCAAGTCACTTAACCCCAATTGCCTAAAAGAAAAAACAAAAGAAGAAATTTCATGCCCAGTTCCTTGATCTGCTCTTCCTCTGTTTTATTGATGTAAACATTTAGAGAAAGACAATTTCCCTAAGTACTGCTTTGGTTGCATCTCACCATTTTTCATATCTTTTCTCATAATTCGCATTCCCTTTAATGAAATTATTGATTATTTTCTATGATTTGTCCTTTGACCCACTCATCTTTAGGATTAGATTATTTAGTTTTCAGTTAATTTCTGAATCTGTTTCCATACCCTTTATTGAATGTCCTTTTTATCACTGTGGTATGCAAGGGTGCATTTAAGACTTCTGTTTTTCTCCATTTGGTTATGAGGTTTTTATGCCCTAATATATGGTGAGTTTTTTGTGAAGGCCCCATGTACAGATGAAAAAAAGTTATATTTCTTTCTATTTCCATTGAGTTTTCTCCAGAAGTCTATCATATATAACTTTTTTTGTCCTATAGTTAGCATAGGACTTTTATTAGTCTTTTATTGGAAATTTAACTTTTTTTTTTCTAGTGCAGGAAACATTTACCAGGCACCCACTATGACACCCACTATGGGCAGTGAGGTGGTACAGTGGCTAGCATATCACACCTGGAGTTGGGAAATCCTGAGTTCAAATGCATCCTCATACCTTATTAAGCTGTGTAACCCAGGGCAAGTCACTTAACCCTGTTTGCCTCAGTTTCCTCATCTGTAAAATGAGTTGAAGAAGGAAATGACAAACTACCTCAGTATCTTTGATGAGAAAACTCCAAATGGGGTCACAGAGAGTCAGACACAACTGAAATGACTGAACAACAGTAACACTATGAGAATGAAAGACAAAGATGAAAAATGTCAGAGTTCCCTCTCTTCAATATCCTCTTTTGGCTTCATTCAAGAGTAGCTCTGTGATGCAGTAGGGCCTGGAGTCAGGAATTCCTGAGTTCAAATCTGGCCCCTGTATGATGAGGTCTAGAGGTTTAGGGGTGCTGGGACCCCAAGACCACAATACATGGGTCGCACCCAAAAGAATTTGACCCAAGCCTTCTTTCAGCTAAAGAGAAGGTTTATTAAAGATGCACCATATTAGCCAGACTCCTAAGGAATCTAAGTACCTATGAGCTATTGGCTAGATTGTAAAAACCTGAGGAGTGGTTCAATTATAAGAATCTGAGCCATATCTAATGTTTCTAAAACATTTTTCATCTTCTTAACTTCTTTCTCATTTATTTTATGCATAGATTTGCATAACTCTGAAAGGAGAAAGTTAGGATCATCCATTAGTATAGTTTGACTATTTCCTTCTTTAAGTCATTTGACTTTTCCTTTAAGAAGTTGGATGCTCTGCCATTTGGTGTATATTTGTTTAATGTTGCTATTACATTATTTCATTGCTTTTTAGCAAGATGGAGTTTCCTTACTTTTTCTTTGAATTAGGTCTATTTTTGCTTTTGCTTTCCTCCTCTACTCTGGGGGTTGTGAAGAATCCAAGTCCCATTCAAGGGCTGATGGTTTGCAAATGCTGCTGCAGCTATTGTGCTCTTCCCTTTTGTGGAGCCCAGGACACCCCTCCCACGACCTCCCCTTTCCCCTCTTTGTCCTTCCACTCCCAGTTTCCATAAAGGGGCTGACCCTCAACAACCCCAAGCTGAGCTCAGCTGCTGCTCCCCAACCCCAGCCCAGCAGCCTGCCCTCAGGAA